CCACTGACCAATGAAATTTCTGCTCGGAAGTAAAAAAAAAAGAAAAACAGAATGGAAACATATGCTTCGCTTTTGTCCGTGCAAAGATACGAAACATGGCCTTGAAATATTTGGTGTTAAATTATTAACTTGAAAATCAAATAAGATATTGAGTGAAAATATGACGTGCGATGAAGTGGAAAATATATGCATGGAGCATTTTACATTCTCCATGGGTTTAGTCTGGTGAAGGCTTCTACCCACAATGTACAGTTCCGCTCTGCTGGGGCCTCGTGTGCTACACGCCTGGAAATATGCATGTGTTTCTACATGCAGGGAGAAAGGGCAGGCCAAGTGGTCAGGCTGGTTTGGAGGCGGAGGGAAGAATGTCAGATCGCGTACATGCTTGTTAATCACAGTGTAAGCCTGCTCCGCACAGCCCTTCATTTCCCTTGGGATCACTTGCATAATTTAGGTTCTCCTTCACAAACGACAAATACAACAACAACAAAAACATTGTTTAAATATATGTATGTACTTTTTGTGACATTTCTTTGGTGGTGTGTCTTGAGATTTTTCAAATTTAAGATATGGCTCAGTAAAGAAAGGGAAACAGTGGCCTAAACAACATCACTATTTCCTTTCCCCAGGCATGATGTGGATATTCATTCGAATTATCACTGACTTAGGTGACGTTTGTTTGCATTAAAGACTCCCAGCGGCATACATCATTTGGACCATCTTAAATTGTCTTGCCGGGTTAATTAGCTTTTTATTTGTCCTACGCTGTTTAATGGTACCTCGCTTTATACTGTACATTACAAGGCCATAACGTGACCTCTCACATCTGTGATAACATATGCAAAGTTATTTAGGAAGCAGATGCTGTGGAGGTTGCCAATCATTAGCCTCCATTACAGTTGATGATTTATTTATACATGTAGGGGCTGCCGAAGAGGGTAATGCGAATTAATTGCGTGCACGAAAGCTGCAGTAGAGACGAACTGTCTTTTTTGCTCCCTTGCTTCCCCTACAGTTGAAGTGTCAAACAAAAAATCTGCGGTACATCACATTGAATGCTGGGCAAAATTACAAAATGAAAAAGAAGTGCAACATAAATATATTAAGTGATTATATTCAGTGAAATTCTGCAAATTTGCTATTCACTAGTCACAATTTTAGTGATGTGTTTTTTTTTTGGGGGGGGGTGGGGTCTATGGTCACCTATTCACGGAATAACTCACCTATTCGTAGTTCCCTGCACATTTTTGTGCTCGTTTTGTAAGGCCCCAAGATGCCGCAAGATGCAAGTAGTCGACCGAATTGGCGTCAAGGAAGTATGTTAAAGTTTCACTTTACACTCATCTGATTGACTAGATTGGAATCAGTCGATATTTTGCCTTTTATGCACGACCAGTGACCAAATGTAAAGTCACACTTTGCGCGATCTATCAACGATGTCATTGTGGATATTAATGACTAGATGAAAATGTTGATTACAATTTACTATTCATGTCTATATAATTAAAAACGTATTTTATTGTAATTTGTTACATATGAATAAAATAGATCCTATTTACGTACAGCCAAGTTTGCACAACCAACACGTTCAACTGTAAACCGGACCTTAGTGCTAAATGAATGATAAGCAACCATACTGTGTTGGAAAATGTATTATCATAAACATATCATGAAATAATGATGTTATTGCTTTTGATCTTTTTTTTTGTGTGTGTGCAGCAGCATTTGTACAAACACTTTATACAACTGTGAACAGCAGTACTTGCCATCTTTGTTCCCGCCAACCCAGCAGGCGGTGTCCTGGCCGGTCCAATTATTATTTTTGACCACTAAAGTCGCTGATTTCGGGTTTCCGCGACAAAAAAAAAAAAAAAAAAAAGTGTAATTCTTCCAATACAAGCTTGTGTGCCAGCAACAGTAGTTAGAGGTCAAATGATAACTTATTGTTGCTTCAAGCCCAGACATAATCATGACATACGCACCCACTAAACTCAACGAAGACAAATGTGAATGGGAGACTGTCGTCGACATGAATAATACATTGGCAGTCCTTTGCAGGCCATTAAAGACTCAAGTGCCTGAGAAAAGACTAAAGCGGCATTGAGAAGAAATGATAGCAAGGAGTGGCTATCGGGTCACAAGGTCTTATTGGTTCAAAGTTGTTTTATCTTGTGCGAGCTGTCGAAAAACCCTAAAATAGTGGCTACTGGCCTCACAAGTTTTTTTGTCGTTTGAATTCACACTATTTGGGGTCACACGTGCTGAGTAAAAGGGATGGCTTGAGGGTCAGCGCTCTCATAAAATCCACAATCCACACATGACTGCCATTTTGTCTGAAATGTTTTGATTCTTCTCGCCATGGATGTTCTTGTTTCGCCTCCACCCCAGCCCTAAACACACACACACACACACACAAATATGAAATATGGTTTATCTCCCCAATTATAGACTGCAGGTGGCTTTGACCTTCTCCAGCTGAGCACAGCTTCTCATCATCTCCGACATACATTGAAGCAACGGCCTGAAATGTATGCAACCTTTATGTGTTGCTGTTGTTGATTAACATAGTTTGACATTGAATACAGGAAAAGTTCACACGGGTCACTTGCTCGAAAAATGACAACTCTGCAACATTTCTTTTTTTATATGTTTCATGGAAGCGTCAAATTTATCCCATAATCACACCTAGGGCCAATTAAGATTGCTCAATTAACTCACTGGAGTACCCAGAGAAAACCCACGCAGGCACAGGGAGAACATGCAAACTCCACACAGGAAGGCCGGTCCCAGAATCGAACCCTGCACCTCTGCATTGTGAGGCAGACATGTTAACCAGTCTTCCACCGTGCCGTACACATTCTTAAATGTAGTGCAAAATGCTCTTCATATTCCCATATGTAATTGAATTATTCTGTCCATCGCCAGCAGTCTGCTAAATTGCTCTGGATGTTGGGTATGACTTTTTTTTTTTTAAGGTATTCTTGCCTTTTAGTCCAGTAATGCATTTTATCATTTTATTGAGTAATGCCTTTTCCCCTTTCAGTTGGCGTAACAACAAGGCGAGCCTGCGCTTCAACAAATGTCAAACACTCCACAGCGCTCCTTGCGCTGACAGCGCATACATTTCAATCAAGCCGCCACCTCTTCTACACTCAGACACACGCAAATACTTTCAAGTGCACACAAGAGCATACATGGAGAGCAATTTACTGAACCTTTTAGGGTAAGTACTTTACTGTACCACAGAAAACATACAGGAGCAGCAGCATACAGTACAACACGGAGACAGATACATTTGATGGCTTTCAGCGCTTCCCAAAGCTGGATTGCATTCAGTCTCTCTGCTCACTGGCCACTTAATTAGGTACACTTATTTGTGAGGTCATATTTCTGCAAGAGCCGCATCACTTCAAAATTTGACATTGCTATTGGAATAAAGTAATCAAAATATGCCTGATAGATGCTAGTTAGTCTCTGCAGTTTAGTAAATAATCAACCACTACATTTGAAAAAATGTTGAAAAAAACCCAGAAAATAAATTCCGATTATTATTTTTTTTTCCTGACAGTGTCTATCACAACGAATTCGCGGGATAAAATATCCATATCACGAGGTACATTACTGAAGCAACACACCAAACACATTTTATTATTGTTACAATAAATGCTTACAAAACACTTGACTGAATTTCAAAAGTCTGTTATTAGCTTTTTTTTCTTTGATTATTACACAACCGTTGTATCACGATATGACCAAAATGGTTAAATGGTTGGCAAAATATCACTTGAATTTTGGATCATACAGGACTGTGATACAGCTCTTGTCATGGATTCCAATAAATCATTTGAGTATTTTATATATAAAATAATTCTTTTTTTTTTTTTCAATGAATGAAGCAGCACGGTGACCTAGTGAGTCGAGCTCACCATGGTGCCGAGTGTAATATTTAAAGTCCCTATAAAGTGCAACTCCATCTTGTAACACACAGAAAAGAGTAAAGACCCGAAATTGAATGATTAAAAAAAAAATGGGGCTTCAAAATAATAAAAGAAAGAAAAAAAAGTTTTCCTGACTCCCAAGTGCTACGAGCAGGGATGGCTGCAGTTGAAAATGGGTATTTAGCGCCGTTGAAGCCGCCTTGATCAAGTACCAATCGAAGCGTTTATTCTCTTTCCCTTTAAAATCGGTGCACGAGAGGCGCGGCCCTTGACACGGCGGATGTAGAAAGTGATTTCAGTGCAGGTTGAAGTGCGTACAAAATTATGATGAATTCCAAGCAGACTGCCGTGGGCGAATTATGTTAAGTATTTATTATTGAAATAGATGACATCCACCACACATGTACGCAGAGCGTAGAATATGTCTCCTTGTGGCCCAATCAGAATTTTTAAACATTTTGATGCACTACCTGAGCCTATAGTTAGAAGTGCTTGCAGTAGGCGTAAAGTTTAGTTGTCTTTAAGCAACCAAAACATCAGGTCTGTCAGATGAATTTCAAAGGAAATGCCCTTGGCACGCCCACCACGGCGCAGCAGGCGCTGCTAAATTGCCAAACAGTCACAACGAAAATCAAGATAAGCCAATTTTTACTCTCAAACATAGCCGTGCCATCTACAAATATAAAGCCCTAAATGTCCTTGATTCAGTACTACATAGTTCTCAGTTTTGCACAGGTTTTCAGCATTAACCTCAAACATGTACAAAGTCTTCGGTAACAAATATCTGAATTCACTTTACAGGGTCTTGAACTGGAAATTTGATCAAGATGTCGAAAGATTTTAAGTCAGGTTTTTAATTAACAGTAACAGCAATTCCTGTGTGGAATCGTTTCAGGTTTTTTTTTCAAGCTGCTGCACAGCACACTTTGAAAAGCGCTGCATGAGATCAGGTGTCAAGATGTCGAAAGATTTTAAGTCAGGTTTTTAATTGACAGTAACAGCAAAATTCCTGTGTGGAATCGTTTCAGTTTTGTTTTTTTTCAAGCTGCTGCACGGCACACTTTGAAAAGCGCTGCATGAGATCAGGTGCACCTAACGTTGTGGCCAGTGAGCGCGCATCCCTGCTAAATGAATCATCCATCGTTCTTCCTCCCGTTTCCCAGATGAAGGCTAATGTTCTGACTTTTCCGCATGCAAGTCTTTTTGTCAGGCAGGCATGGTATGTATGGCACTGAGCAATTGGGTGTAAAAAATAAAAACATCGACCATATGTTCATATGTTCACAAGATGGAAAATCTACATTGGACTCATTCTATTTGATTCGACTATTTTCCGGGAGCTTGTTTGGTCTTCAGGAGAAGCGTCTGAACTTGATGAGTTTCTGGAAGGCCTGCTTGAACTCGTCATTGAACATGGTGTAGATCACCGGGTTGATGAGCGAGTTGAGGTATCCCAACCAGGTGAAGACGTCAACGAGCACCGGGTGAAACCAACACTCTTTGCAAATGGCCGTAACCAAGGTGCCCACGAAGAACGGAAGCCAGCACACGATGAAAGCGCCCAGGATAATGCCCAGCGTCTTGGTGGCTTTCCTCTCGCGAGCCGCGCACAGTCGCTTCCTTTCCAGCACGCTGTCGGCCAGTTTCACCTTCACGCTGTTCACAAAGAGAGGCGAGCTTCCCGTTCCTGAGTGGACGTGCCCTTCTTGGTTGGACGACGAATTGAGAGAACACAGGGACGAGCCCGCCGAGGTCTGGATGAGCTGCGCCGTGGTGAAGCGCTTCCCGGACGACGTCGGCATTTTAAAGATGCGGGAGCGCGCCGCCACGTAAATCCGTCCGTAGAGGATGACGAGAAGCACCGTGGGAACGTAGAAGGCCCCGAAAGTGGAGTAGAGCGTGTACGAGATCTGATCTGTATTCACCAAGCATTCCTTCAGCTCCTCGTGGGCTTTGGCTTGCCGCCAGAAGAGCGGAGGCATGGAAATCGATATGGAGATCACCCACACCACTCCGACCATGATCCCGGCTCGGCGCATGGTGCGGCGTTTGGAGTATTCCAGCGCATCCGTGATCGCCCAGTAGCGATCCAGGGCGATGACGCACAAGTGGAGGATGGACGCCGTGCAGAAGGTGATGTCGGACGACAGCCAGATGTCGCACACGATCTGCCCCAGCGACCAGGTCTTGCTCACCGTGTACACGATGCTGATGGGCATCACCAGGATGGACACCAGGAGGTCGGTGACAGCCAGCGAGCCGATCAGGAAGTTGGCGGGCGTGTGCAGCTTCCTGGTCAGGAAGATGGTGGCGATGACGAAGGCGTTGGACAGCACCGTGGCGAAGGTCACCACGCCCAGGAGCATGGACAGGGAGATCTGGAAGCCCAAAACGGAGGCGTCACTCCAGTAGGGAGACGCGGCGGTCGGGTCGGGAATCGCCGAGACGTTGCCGGTCAAGTAGTCCAGGGAGCTGTTGTACACCTCCATCTTGCTCGTGATTCTCGACAGCTTTTACAAGAGCCTCATTGCACACGCGCCCAAGAGTGCAGGGTTGAATCCCCCCGTGCCTTGTTTTTCATATCAACCCGAAGCTAACGTCTAATTCCATCATTTCGTGTCCCGAGCTAATGTTCCTGTAACCGAAGCCGACTTATTTGTCCATTTCAATTTTATATTATCGATTCAGGCCTGCTTACATCGCAGTCGGAGTGATGGATACTCATTTGTATTCAGCCGCTGTCAGATGGCCACTTTTGTTCCTCTGCTTTCCACTCCTCTTATCTCATCTCCAAGCTGCAGCCATCCGGCAACAGCACCTCAACGCCGAACCTTGGTATCTATCAACCACTTTAATGGGCTCCTCCGTTTCAATAAGGCGAGGCGCCGCGCTGCGTGCGGTAAGATGATGACGACAGATACACGGCTCGGCTTGTTGTCAGGCGGCTATCTCTGGTGTGGAGTCCACGTGAAGCCGATCGACGGTTACATGATCCAGTCAGGGCTTGCGTCGTACTTCCTTGGTCTTCCTCTGCATGTGAGACAAAAGAGAGGAACTTAGTTTTCATTAAATGGCTTCTCGTTATCGCCCCTTCCTGTATTCATATACGAACAAACAAAACCACCCACATGAATCATGACCAAACTCAACCTGTAAATGGATCATTGGGACCCCCCGCCCCACCCCCGTGCGCGCGTGCACACACACACACACACACACACACACACAAACACACACAGCCGGATTCATTTATTTACTCTCAGATTTCCGCGCAAGGTTAATGTATGTTCAATTCAGCTCAGACAGTTTTAGTCTAAATGGAATGAATCACAACACGATGAACCACAAACACAAAACCTCCCATTTTATGACTCGATTGGCTTTTTAACCCATGAGCCCAAGCATTCAGTAGCGCACATTAAGAAAGCACCATAGGCATCATAAATTAATAGCAAATGGAAAATGCTGTGAATATTTAATGTTATTTTCTGCATTATGAAATAGTTGGAGCAGCCCGGTGGTGGTCCAGTGGTTAGCGCGTCGACCTCACAGTGCAGAGGTGCAGGGTTCGATTTTGGCTGCGACCTCCCTGCGTGGAGTTTGCATGTTCTCCCGGTGCCTGCGTGGGTTTTCTCCGGGTACTCTGCTTTCCTCCCACATTCCAAAAACATGCAAAAGCAATAATATGTGCTCATGCCATTTAAGGAATGTCGGAATTACAATTAGGTTGTTCCGCCCTACAATAATGATGCATTGTTTAACGCAGTAGACTATAACAGGATCAGGATTCAAAAACCTGAACCTCTGGTGGTAGGTCCATATGGATTGGGCCTCGACACCCCATTTAATTATGAACCTGCGCTATTATCGCCCAGTGATTCCTTTCTGTGCCATTTCATCTTGACGACAGCATCTAGCAGTCACTCTTCATTCCCGAGGGAATGCGATTGCGCGCGTTTCTTGTCCGACTCTATTGGGACCAGTTTCAAGCACCCTGGATCCCCCCCAATTAGGATGACAGGCGGTGAAATGCAGGATGGAGGATTGTGCTCTTACACTCTCCATTTGATGTGTGTGTTGTGGGGGGGAAGCAGTGTCAGAACACGGCTTTAATATGTTATTGGTTTGGAATTATTTAGTATTGACTTTCACATGTAATACTCAAAAGCGTTGCTTTTTTTGATGACAGGCTTTTTTTTTCTTTTTTTTTTCCTGAGCAACTCTAATTCCGTTTCAAGTCATGTTACTTTGTTTTATCGTGATGTGTGCTTGCTTTGATTCTGCTTTTCTCGACGAAAGGTGGATGCATTTGTTGACACGAGGGACGGGCGTCATAAGCAATTCATGTGTTGTGTGGAGCAGATTGTTGATCGAGGCGACGGCGCCGTTGCCCAACGTTAGCTGCGATAGACTCTAGCTCACCCGCGACCCTAATGAGAATAAAGCCATAAAATAAAATGGATGGATAGATGATGACTGTCGATTAAGTGTGTGGAAACTCTTGAGGCAAAGTTATACTGCACTGGCTGGAGAGAGAAATTCGCCCATCTCATCCATCCATCGGTTTTCTTGAGTGCTTGTCCTCATTAGGGTCATGGAAAGCTGCAGCTTATCCGAGCTGACTCTGGGTTTGAGTTGACTGACTGCAGCAGACCCTCTCGAGGTTGAGCAGATCAGATAATGGACGGATGGATCATTTTTTTTTCGTGTCTTTGCATATCTGGAAAAGCTCTTTAGAAAAGCAATTCATTTTACCGGTATCAGTCGTTTTCCGCCATAGAGGAAAAAAATGATCGCCAAAAAGGGAACACATGGGAGATCGACCTGCTTCCAGAAACAAATCCTGTTGGACCTCAGAGGTTCCATTGTATTCCATATGTCTCACCTTCATCCCATGTGATAGATGACTGAATGGCCTATCTGTTTACATATCGGTCAAGTCAAACACGAGGCTTATCTCCCTGTGCTCTGGTTTACGAGACAATGAGATAATGAGGCTGGTAATGGATGGATGAGAGGAAAAGATTTCCAATCAAGAACAGGCCCTGTCGAAATTGGGGTGGATACTGCTTGCGTGAAAAGACATTAGTTCCTCCATCTGGCTTTTAAATTAAATGACACGAGGGCAGGGCGCAAACCAGGAAGCTCCTCCAAATTCAAAACGGAACGTATCCGCCGTACAATTCAGTACATCACAGCTCCATTCATGAGAAATCCAATTCACTTCTCCTGTCAGACTTGGCCCGAGTCCCACCAGATGCTGTACAGTAATGTCTTCGCAGTACAGAATGAACCAGCGACTCACCCCGTGAACCAGGCGGACTGACGAACGCTGCAAGGCCCCCCGCTCGAAGGGGTGGGGGGGGATAATTGATTTAACTCAGCAGAGGTAGAGCCATCGCCGCTCGTGTGTCAGCGCCTGTCTGCTGTGGACTGGAGCGTGCACTAAACGGCAGTGGGCCGCAACTCTAATGAGTGTGCGTACGTGTGCGCGCGTGTAGAGAAGAATACGTCAAAAGAGAAATACAGTTGATGATGGGGAATACGGATGAGAATTTAATGGGAGTCAGGAGACTAACGATGGAGCAATATTGGGCCACTACATTAGGGATGTGACCAAAGCCAGAACACAGATGAGCCGTGACGTTTGAAATGCGAGCTCGAGGGCACTTTGCGATGTCACAAAATTTTGAACATGTGAAACCTGGGCCTGTTTAGTTGAACATAAAGCAGTTATTTTTCTGTTGAATGAATGGCAACAGGTTGATTGTACTTAGGGGATGCTATACAGTGGTACCTCTACTTACGAACGTCTCTTCATGCGAAATTTTCAAGTTACGAAATACCTCAATGGGAAAATATCGCCTCTTGTTACGATGGAAATTTCAAGATACGAAAGGTAAAAATACAGTATGGGCTGCTACTCGCAGCTCCGAGTTTCCTGAACGCAACATACTTCTAGCTGCTCTGCCATTGGCTATGACCGAGCATATCCTGGCCTCCCATTGGCTAAGAGGGACCTCTACCGTATGGCTCAATGCAGCGTCCTCGTCATTCGCCCGTCGGCCTATGAGGTGTTTCGATAGTCTGAGGTAAATGTAAATCACCCAGAAAAAGTGTTCACCGGTCGGGCGATCGTTCACTTTGCTGACGTCCTCGGATCAGTTCAGGCAAAAACCACTTCTGAGAGAGAACATGAACTAAAGAGGGCAAAAAAAACGATGAGGACGCAGTTAAAAGTTAAATGACCATCATTTTTATTCTTTATTTTTTGTTTAACGCACAACTCTCATTCATTGTGCAATAATCTAATTGTAAAATGTATTTATAACATATTTTGATGATTTTTTTTTATTTTATTTTTTTATGCTTTAGAAAATATTAATGTCTGAATTTTGGCGGGGCTTGGAACGGATTAGGGCATTTACATGGAAAACGCGTCTCTACTTATAAAATTTTCTCGTTAAGAAACAGTTGGGGTACCACTATTGTATGTTGTAGGCATAGATAGATGAAGAAAGATACATTATTTGGAGTAAAGAAATATTTTACCAACAAGTGAATTTGGATCATTTCTCACGGCACAACTTGATGACCTCTCAAGGCACATTTGTGATGAAACTTTTTTTTCTCTAAAACCTAGACGGGGAAAAAAAAAATCCTTTGGACTTGTATGCTCTTGAAACTTGAGGCTACTCTCCTCTATACCAATTGTCTGGAAGGCTCCAACACTTGTACTAATCTATATTTGATATGTTCATTCTTCTCCACAAGCCATCTATTATTCATCTTTTGAATGGTCGCTGGAAAAACAAACCACTGCAACTAATTTATACTGTGGCGTCAAGCATCACGGGAGTGGAAAGTAAGCGTGTTCGCTAACGGGACACTTGGTACAAATGAAATGTTAAATAAAAGTGGACATCTGGCTCATAAAGAGGCGCGCCAATGCTCAGCGAGCATCTAAAAGTGCGACTGTGTCCAACCTTTGTTCCGGCAGCGACGTGACTGTGTTTCACCTAAATGCATTTCCGATGCTGAACAGAGCTTGATCGCAGTTCCGAATGACTTTGCTGTCTGTGATTGTCGTCTTAAATATGCGATCGTAGTTTTCAAGGTTGTTGTTAAAATTGCCTTGTCGTCGATACACCGAAACCTTGATGTCATGTTCTGTTTTGATTGTGTTTCAGTTCCAGCTGGAGTGAAGGGGCGTGGTCCCTCCAGCAGGCGCACCTGTTCCGCGTTTCCCCATCAAGCCTCGCCATGTATTGAAGGACCGCCAAGCTGCCTCGTCCCTTGTCGGATTATTGAGCTTGCTGTGCTTCAAGTGTTGTATTCTAGACCTCTCGATATCTTTCATGGTCTCTCTCGTTTTGTCATAGACCTTTATAACTATTTTCAATATTCCTTTTCATGGATTTAGATCTTTGGTTTCGGGTTTCTGGACTTGGGATATTTCGTTAATGTTTTCTCGGTGTTCTCTTGTACCTTGCCTTTGCAAGCGCTTTTTGTTTTATGCATTTGGGTTTTTTTTCCCGCCTCCTTGTGACCAGTGATTTCAGTTTGGAATTTGTCGGTGTGCTTTTCTGTAATATTTTTCTTGTCGCACTTTGTCTGAGCTTGCATTTCTGGAATCCAAAACATTATTCGATTCGGTTGAGAACCTGACACTTTAACAAAATCCATAATTGGTGACTTTAAAACAAATGTTCTCAGAGGAAATAATTTTACTTCGATTAATTTGACGTCGGGTCAAACTGTCGCCGACATCACATTTTTATTCCCGCTACAGTCGACTGTTTCAAGTATCACACAAGTGTAAAAATGATCAAGTCAGAATTTAACGCAACTCTAATTATCACCCCATAATTTAAGATCATTTTTACTCTTAACGTTTCACGCACAGAAAAAGATCCAGAAACAGTCATCTTCAAAAAAAATCTTTCAGTTGTATTATTTGTATTCAAGTGCTTAAAGTCTATCCAAACCTTTTAGGAGTGAGATGAAAAATCATGTATTATTTTTTTTTG